GGGTATTGGGTTGTTCCCTTCAGAATTCTACTCATTCTGCCCTGTACAGTTCGACTAGAGAAAAAAACAGGAACATACTCACTTGTCATTTCTAGTAATTATCTCCAAGCCCTTCAATTGCATCAGTAAGTGTTAAATAAGCAATCTACAAAAATTAAAAGATTTTAAGAAAAAAGGAATATGCACTCAAGACAGAGTTTAAATCCAGATTGTTTTGTTTCTTACTAATGAATCTACATGGCTAAATTGTAATTTATCTGGTCTTGTGCATTTATATTCACATATTCATATTTCTGTGACTATCTAAACAATATGTCTCAAAAATAGGGTCTGGATATGACTCAGTAGTAGAAACTTATTTTTATAGACAAGTCCTAGGTCTAATCACAGCACTGTAACAATGATAATAATAGTAATATGAACAAGGTAAAAGAGTTACTCTATTGGTGTTTTGATTAAATTTAATCATTCATGTATTGTAGCACATAAAACTATCCTAGACATGTAAAAATATCCAATCCCTATTCCTGGTTTATATCTTTAAACAGGTAAACCAGGATTTCTCATCCTCAATAGACATTCAGAAGAATTAATTAAATGTTGTTTTGTTCTCCTGTGTAACATAAAATGAATATCATCTTATACCCTTGCTCAGAATTTCATGTTGGTATTATAAACCAAAACCTCACAGCCTACACAGTGGTCATGGCCAAGAAAATTTCTCTAGTCAATGTAATATATTCCATGGGCACTGTTTAGGCCCCAAAAATGATGTGTTGGAAACAAAATGCTCTCTTGGCTTTCAAGTTTTCTGTCAAGTAATTTGGTTTTATTTTAATAGAACAGGCCTTGGAGGTAACTTGACCTTTCTCTAATACACCTGTTAATGCTTTGCACTGAGCCTTTTATTTATGAAGACAGACCATTAGAACAAAGATTCCCCTTATGGAAACCTAAAGAATATAGAATCTCTCTGCCCAAAATCAACCCTAAAACAGAAATGCTGTTCTTCCAAAGTCTTTGCCTCTATGAGTGATTCAGCTGATCATGAAGAAATTGTCTTATCATCCATACCTTATAGTGAGTCAATGATTTCCAAACCAGAAGGAGTCCAGGCATGCACTCAGGAAAAATGGCTATGACACAAAAAGGCTTTCAGTAGGTAATTATTTCTTAACTTTTTGTCCAATGACATTTATAGATAGAACTTTTCAATGTCTCTCAATCCTAGCAATAACACTGGACTGTTTTCCTTGATCTCTGAATTTTTGTTTTGAATAGTTTCTATTATGAAAAATCTTGAACAAATTATTATATCCCTCTTTTCCTAATCTGTCCTTTGTTTTAAGAATGTTAGACTTGGACCACAGGTGCACTGCCTTCATCTTAGCATTGAAGATGCAGAGCTCAGGGATTGAAAATCTAGGCTATATAGTGAAAAACTTTTTAATTAAAAAAAAACAAGAAACAGAACAGCAGATTGAATTAAGAAAATAACAGAGTGGAAAAGAAAACAATGGTTGTTGCCCCTCGCAATGGCAGTGGCAGGGTATAAAGGATCACTCTATCCATTTTTATCATGTCAAAATTGTCCAAGTGAGTCACTAATCTAACTGTACTGTTACAGTCCCCATGTTTGTGTCCTGAAAACATGACTGGGGTGGTGAGTTACTAAAGAATGGAAAAACACACAGACACCCATACAGAAAAGCTGACATTGTTTGGACAAGGCAGTCTAATGGAAATGTACCAGATAGAGCCTGGAGACCCACTTAGTTTATTCTATAAATCTGATTCAAAGAGGTAGGTGTCTTACTTATATTGTATTGTTGTGAGAAGACACCATGACCAATCGAACTTATATAAGAGTGATGTGAGAACTCCTTTAGGCCATACACTTTTAGATACCGATTTTTGGGGGCATGGTCTTACGTACTATAAGTATAGATGCAAAGGATGTATGGTCCTCTTCTGCATTTAGTTCCCATTTTCCAGCACACATGGAGGACTCTAGATATCTACCCTTACTGTGAGTATATCTCCAAATAAATAAATATTTACTATACTCGATTCCAGGCTATTGTGGAACTCTTTGATATGACTTTGGCATCCAACATGGTACAATGTATATTCACATAAAGCCTAAGAAAGCTTTAAAAGCACTTCTAGACCCACAAAAATGGGAGCCAATGGCAGATTATTAGTAACCATATTTTTTTTTTTCAGTAGGCTCTGTGTACTAGAAGTGAGCACAAATGACTTCGTGGTTTATACTGTCAGCATGGAGGGCTCTTCTGAGAGTACCTTCCACTGAGTTCTTGAATGGGGTTTCTGGGTAGTGTGATGCAAGCTAATTGGTAGCAGTGTGGAACAACTGCTTCCCAGAGTTGGAGTGGTGAACATTGCTCCTAAAGTTGGCAGTTAATGGACCTCTGTCATATTGGAAGGGCAAGTTGTGTGGAACCAACAGACAATGTGGCTGTTCTGATCCTAGCCATGCCCACTTAACAGTTTAAAGGAGTGATCATAGAGGATTACAGATAGGCCATAAAAATAGAGTCAGATAAAAATAAGCCTTTAGGTGGGTTAAAATCTGTTTGAAAATGTATGTAGGCTTAAGAAAAAAAATGGTTATAGACAGAAAATGTATGTAGGCTTAAGAAAAAAATGGTTATAGACAATATAGAAAGAATTAGTTTTAAAAAATAAAAGTCTTTAAAAAGACATTAAAAGTAATAAAAAGCATAGATAGTTATATATTAATGGGGTAAAAATAATAAGATAATTATTAAAAAGTAATGGAGTGAAAAAATAAGCCACAGAAAGATGGAATATTCATAGAGGGTATGGATTTTATATATTAGTGCATTTACTTAAGATGTTAATGAGTTAACTGCTTAAAAAATTGATTCTGGGGCTACTAAGATAAACCAACATATATATTTGAAAATTATCTTGACTTTAAAATTTGAATCTAAGGATATACTACTTTGTAATAGAGGTTCTTTTTTTGTTTCCACAGAGGATAGGAACCTGTGGATTTCTTCAAGACTAATGAGATTTGGTGGAACAAGACATCCTGAAAGGTCTTAATGAACCCAAAACATTGTTCATCCAGCAAACAGAAAGAGGCAGTTTGAATAAAATGATGCCTAAACTAAAAAAAGGATTGTTTATGAATGTTTGTTTTCATTGGAAGGGGGATGGTATATAGAAATAAATACTTTACATTGGTATGGACTTTGGTTTATTGATACAAATTAGATATCAATTTTGTTACATTAAATTTGTACACTTGCTTAAAGTTTTATATTTATATATCTCTTTAATGCATAATTGAGAAATATAGGTCAAGAGATAGTCTTCTATAATAATAAACTTTTAGTCATGTTAGGCCTTCTAATATACAGAGATATTTCAGTTGGACAGATAATCTTGAACACTTCAAAGACCTGCAGACTATGGCATACAAAGTGATATTAAGAACTTATATTTAGTAACCTCTGCCAGAGCACCCCCTAGCAAACTATCCCCTGCAGAGCAGGCTCAAGCCAATGACCTCCATAGAAAGAGGACTGATTCAGTGAACTCTGCATGAGAAGTCCCAAGCAAGCAACCTCAGTGGGAACAGCCATAACCACCAGGATTGCGGAGTGGTATACTGGATCACTGAGCAACCACAGCAAACACCAAGTGACCTCCAGGGTGGCTGGAACTATGTCCCTGCCTCCCTCACAATGAATAGCTATCTAAGCCCTGGGATCTACTGGTGTCTGAATGAGTGTTCACCAGAGTCATTGTTCCAACTACATCAATCAGAAGAAAAAAATAGGTAGACAAGGTAAGAACATACTCAACACCACAAAGAGCAACATAGCCCAATAAAAACTAGTGAGTCTACAACAGCAAGACATGAATAGCACAATACAGATGAAGCAGAAAAAAATGACCAATAAAATATAGTAAAAAAATAACTTTAGGAGAATGTTTGAGGTCCTGAAAATGGAAATGAAAAATTGATTTTGCTTTGAGTCTCTATCAATTTTCTTAAGTGAAACATTATGCTCATCTAACAGCAACTTTTGTTTTTTTTTTTAAAGTAAATTTTATTAAATTATAAAAGTTTCCATTTCCGCCCCTCTTCCCAACACCCTCCCACTCCCCCCACTCCCTCTCCTCCTCCCTCTTCATCCCTTAGGGCAGTCAGGGTTTCCTGCCCTGTGGGAAGTTCAAGTTCCTCCCCCCCCCTCCAGGTCCAGGAGGTGAGTGTCCAAACTGACTTGATCCCCAAAATCCAGAATATGTAGAGGAAACAGGTCCCAGTGTCATAGTCAATGGCTTTTCAGAAAGACTCCGGGCCAGCCACATTCAGAGAATCCGGTCAAATTCCGAGAATCTGGTTATATCACTTCCTCGTTCAGTCCCAGTCCAACTGGCCTTGGTAAACTCTCATTAGATCCGTTCCATTGTATCAGTGGGTGATAGCATCCCTCGCAGTACTGATTTCGTTTTT